CTACCTGCAACTCCAATTTCCTACAGTTTTGTGGGTTATACCTACCATCCACGGGGTAATTGCTACCAAGCCGTAGGCACTTGGGGTCACAGGTAAGTACACCCTACATCGTAGTTTCTATTTTCTTCTCAAGTCTACAAGCCCTATTTCATCCCTATATACCCCTATATAAGGGTTTAGGTTACAGGTAATCTCAAACCCTAAGCCCTAAACCCTAAACCGCCCTAGTATTTCTGGCCCCTACATCACAGTACCCTAGATCCGGCAGAGAGCCGGTACGTTAGGTGCTCGAATCCCCAGATTCTTCCTTGGTTTAGGGTTTAAGGTTTAGGATTTAGGGTTCAGGGTCCGGGGCTTTCGCATGTAGGTTCATACTTCGGGGATATTCTATTGACAAGTGTATGAAAAAACTTTCATTGGGAGTTTTCTTCATACACTTGCCAAGTTCTCTTGTCTTGCCACGTCATCCCCTAAACCCTAGACCCTCTAAACCCTAGACCCTAAACCCTAAACCCAAGACCATAACTCCTAGACCCTAAACCAGAAATCCTCTAAACCACCTGCACCCTTAACCCTACACCGCCTCCACCTTCTAAACCCTAAATCCCCTACCACCCCCTAAACCCTTAAGTCAACCCCCTACCTGAGCTATTGTCTAAACTCCTAGTATCCCCCTCCATAATCCATCTTTCCGTTTGACGAGTTCCCTATAGTAGTCCGCTATACACTCCCCTAAAGAACCCCCTGTGAGGAGTTTAGACCCTAAACTCTAAATCCTAAACCCTAAGCCCCAAATAGTAGTTCCCACTTTCTTTTCCATTATCCCAATATGTATCCCCCATATTAACCCTTATATAACTCCCTATATACATCAGCTCCCAAACCCTAAACCCTAAACCCCCTACATCGCCTTGCCAGGCTTCTATGCCACTACCTTTTCAAAGCTCCCGGGCAGAGAAGGAGGAAGTGCCCGAGCCGCCCAAGGAGGCATTTAGCAAGCTTTGGTCTAGGGTTTTAACGGGTGTTAATGGGTTTTAGGGGATTTAAGGGGCTTTAGGGGCTTTAAGGGCTTAATGGGTTTTAATAGGTTTTAGGGGTTTTAATGGGTTTAGGGGTTAGAGGTTTAGGGGGTTTAGGGCTGTGGGGGTTTAGGGTTTTAGGGCTTTAGGGTTTAGGGTTTAGGGCTAAGATATTGGGGGTTATAGTGGGGTGTATGTAGGGGTTATTGGGTATGTGTATTGGGGTTATATGAGCTACAGTCTAAACTCCTTGAAGGGGGTGTTTTAGGGGTTAGAGGTTTAGGGGTTTAGGGTTTTGGGGTTTAGGGTTTTAGGGCTAGTTAAGGGTTTTAGGGCTTAGGGTTTAGGGGTTCGAGGGTTTAGGTGAGGGCTTGTGCCGACTGAAGTTATGCGCGCTCGAAGTCCGACCTGCAACCCCAATTGCCTACAGTCTTATGGGTTACACCTAATAATGAAGGGGTTCAGTACTAAACCGTAGGTAATTGGGGTTACAGGTAGAAACTGAATCCTCAACCCTGAATCTGAAGCCTAAACCCCATATACCCCCTAAAGACCCCATACAACCCGTCTATAGCCGCTAACCTTCAAAACATGAGGTTACAGGTAGCCCCCAAACCCTTAACCGTGAGGTTCTTCTGCACAAACATGACACCAGATCATGGCTAGGTGGCAATTTGGAGATGAGAGATGTTTTAGGTTTAGGTTGGGTACTGCCCCCACCCAGTAACAGTCTATATTAGGGGTCTTATATAATGGGCTATGTATAACCACATTCGAATTATTATCCAACTGTTACTGAGGGGGGCAGTACTCAAGGCTTAGGGTTTCGTTCACTGTTTCCTCGAGAATACTTCCCCTCACGCAGTTTTTGTTCGATTTTGACCCTCACGCAGCGAGGTATTGTGTTTTTGGTTTCTAGATATCTCACACGAAAACCAGTGCACGGCCCTTGAGTCGTCGTTCTGTTTGAATGGGCCATGAGGGGTCTCCATGACTTCCGCTTATGTGGCTCTTTCTCCGAAATTTACGGAATCACTGCAGAACTGTATACGTTGCCATGAATCATACATTTTGGTGTGCATGCTTGGAATCTCCGTCTTAGCTGCTGACAATGCAGGAGGGCACCAGCAAACATTACAGTACCAAAGCGATTTGTATCTTTTAAGATCTGGACCTGAACAACACCAGAGTCAGATAAAAAAAGTCTGGTGTGGGATCTAGGCTAAACCCCAAACCCTCAAACCTACACCCTAAACCCTAAAGCCTGAGCCCTACACTCTACACCCCAAGCCCTGGTGGGTCCAAAAGGAACCCGCAAAAAACCATGGCCACACCAGTAAACATGAGGTACACTGCTTAGTTGACAGACTTTAGTGTCGAGAAAGGGCATCTTTCTTCTCCCCCAGTGCACTTCATCAGGCTGAGCAGAATGCCCCTGACGCAAGAACTGGCCAAGCAGCCGCATGAATGAAAGCATGTTGCCTTCGTGATGATACCGTAAGACAAATTGGTATAGATAAGTCAGCAACTCCGGATTAGCCTGATCAGTGCCCGTCTATCCATAGCTCCATCAGTGCACGTCTATCATTGTGGCAATGAAGTAAGTGTAGCATGAAGCTCGTTGACCAAACATGTGAACATCTTGTATCTGTGAGAATTAGTGTGAAGGCACCATCTTGTCTCTGTGATAACCATGGTGAAGAAGCGTTATTTAGACCCAGACCTGAGCAAAATCGAATGCAAACAGAAAGGAGGCTTAGTTGCACACGAAAGTGCGAAACAGTAAATACCAGTGTACTCTAGGGAGGCCTTAAAACATAATGAACATTTCAACACAAAAAATGTGGGAATAAGGTAATGGCCGAAAGGCAGGAAACATTGGTATTTGCAGTGGAGTCTGAACTAAGCAAAGCTGAACTGCGCAAGAAGTGTGGGTTTCTTACGGCCCCGCCTAGCCCTAAACCCTAAACCCGAGAAGATTTGAAAGTTGGGGAAGGTGCAATTGAATACCCTCTCGGAAACTTACCTCCTCCCCCCGCAAAAGAGAAGGTTAAGGGTTCAGGGTGTAGGGCTTCGGGTTTAGGGCTTAGGGTTTAGGGTGTAGGGTTATGAAGATTGCAGCCTTTTTGAACCGGGGGCTTTGTAGGGAAAGTCGTTGAAGATCTTATTGTTCTTCGCCGTCATGAAGACCAGGAATTTGCGGGAGATTCCCTTCCTGGCAACCCCAAGCATGCGTCATGAACCCAGGTGTAAACTTTCTTCTGGTAAGTGAGGAGGGAAGGAATGAAGTCCGAGTCTTTCATATTCTTCCATGATGACAGCACATACAACTTATTCCTTACCAACCAATAAAGTCGAAACCTCGAACTTTCAAACGCCTCGACCCCAAAGACCTCGAACCTTACAGCAAAACCCTAAAGCGCTCCCAACTGTAAGTGTGGCGCACGGAAGCTCTGAGAATCTATCTTGCCAGCGGCGAGTTTCCAAAAGAGAAATCACAGATATCCATGTATCATACAATGAGTCTGAACATGTTTCTGTGGGTCCTAACCCCTCAGCCTGGATGCTGAAAAACCCTAAACCCGAAACCCT